TCCGGAAGAGTAGCTAAAAACAATTATAATACAGAAAGGTAAAACCGATATCTCCAAAAACTGATACACGAAACGCAGCTGCATCGCACACATTTACGTATGTCGCGTAAAGTATGAGTAAAAACATGCAAAGTACTCCCGCACTAACGAGGTTGCTTGTGTATGATGGCGAAACCCTGAACGTTCTGATTGCCCCTAAACTTTGCTCGTGAGAAATTATAAATTTTAATCTGCAAATATTTTAAATATCAAATGGAGAAATTTGAGTCGTTCTTAGAATTGACATGACAAATTGGTGTGTCTCAATTCAATTGGTCACGATAAAAGCGGCATAAATCGCCACGCATAAAAAATCGCGAACTGAAATTATGATTTATAAAAACAAACAGTCCTCAACCGCACTTAGGCTAGTTCAAGCACGCACACTCGGAAACTTTAGGATTCAGTATCAGTGTTTGTGCTCGGCATGGTTTTTTTTTCAAAACAAATTTCTTGAAATTTTTGACGGATTTTTCTAAAAACGTTTGAAAGGCATTGTTGTCGTGAGCTCAAAATCAAAAAGATATTTCTCCTGTGATTGTTTTTTGCTAAATTTTGGGGGTTTAACTGTTGCCAATTTGGGACAATTAACGCGCGATATATTTAGTTTTATTACCGCGTCAGTGGATATTTAATCTGTCTTCGAAATCGTTCCAAATTGAATTGAGGCATATTATTTGGTCCAATTATTATTTTTGTAAAAACTGAAGTTTTTTAAGTTCGTTAAAGCAAACACTACTCCATATCCATATACTTTAGAGGCAGTCGGAACAATCAGGGCTTCGCTTGGATACGAGTAGTCTTGTTCCCATTTGATGTCAATTTTTTGTCAAATTGGTCTGAATTGAATAAAAACGACCCCAAGCATATATTTTCCTCACTATCTTCGCGCTACACGTAAGCGTGATATTTGGCCGAAAAGTATTTTGCCTAAAAACAATCTGCTTATACCATTTATTGCAGAGTTTTAAAGATAAAAACAGGAGCGAAAGACAGGGCCATTGGCTTTTTTAATCGTTTCATCCCTTTAAACACAAACTTAAACGATTCTTTCAGGACAAAGATTTTTGATCGATAAATGATTGCTTTTCCGAAAAAAAAAGAAAATTTCATTTCAAAAAGGGTAGCGCAGTCTCTTTTTTTCTTGCAGGGCCAAAAATAATATTCCAATAAAAAAAAATATCGCAAATACCGCTGTCCCTGTGACTTTTTTTTTCTGAATTTGAACTTTTTCATTAACATTTTTTCTAAAAAAACGCCCGAAACTTTCTTACAAAGTAAGGTTATCCAATTATATAGATAATTTCGTGGGTTGATTTCCAAATCTCAACAGAAGCATAAGCTCAAACGGGGAAATCGAAATACAGCTGGAAATCTTGACCGTGGAACGAAAAACTTAAGTGCTTCGATGCATCATATGTCTGTGATCACGGGTACCCCACTATTTCAATTGAGGTATCTTGATGCCAGAGCAGGATTCCAGATCATCTATTACTATACTTATTAGTACGTGATTTAGATTCTAGGATCAACCGTACACTCTCCCCTCTCCCCCTCCACTAAGTGACCAACCGTTAGATAACCGCCGAAGCATATATAAATTCTGAAAAATAGTTCTGTATAAAACATCACGGGTTTCGACTTTGAAAGACGAGCAAGTGCAGTTCCGCGGTCGAGAAGCAATTTCTAGTCGCGCATAAAGTCGAAATATACACAATTTTGGCCGAGAAAGTCAAATCATAGGTCGATAAAATTGAAACATAGGTCGAGACAGTCGAAAGATACCTGATTTTGGTCGAGCAAAGTCGAAACACAAGTCGAGCTCAAACTAATTTTTTTTTTCAAAATTTCAAATTGGAAACTCAGCAACAAAAATCTGCTCGGAAACGACCTACGTCAGCAAGTTGCAACTAAAAACAGTCTATTGAGGAGATTTGCCTACCGCAAAACTAAAAAATTTAGAGTGAATCCTTCAAGTTTTGAAAGGATTCCTGCGGCAAGAAAAATTAAATTCTACAGACAATTTTGTTTTCACAACAGTTTCAGGCCAGATTTTTAAAAAAAAAGTTAAAGCAAAACTGTAAGATTCAACTAGAAAATAAACTTTCGACTAAGGTTTTTACAGTTTACAGGTTTCCGTAGTTTATTTTCAAATCAAGCATCATCACAAAAAATCAACTGAAAAGCATAAATAATACTTTTTGTCAAGTAACATATTATTTGGTAATTTAGAACGTCGAGAAAGTCGAAACCTGTGGCGCACAGTCAAAGCAAACCCATTTTTGGTCGAGGAAGTCGAAACACAAGTTTAGAAAGTCAAAACAAATCGCGAACTTGGATTTTAGGTCGAGCAAAGTCAAAACATAGGTCAAGCACAGTCAAATTAGAAGTCGCGCACAGTAAAAAAAATACCCAATTTTGATCAAGAAAATCGAAACATATGTCGAAATCAGTCGAAGCAAAAAGTCGATTTGGTCGAAACCTAAAATCAAACACAAAATTACATAACAGTCAAACTAAAAATCAAAACCTAAAGTCGAGTTGGTCGAAACCTAAAATTGAACACAAATTTACAGCACAGTCGAACCCGAAGTTAAAACAAAAAATTGAGCTGGTCGACGTACAACGTCGAGCACAAATTTACAGCACAGACGAACTCAACGATGAAACAAAGAGCTGATCGGTCGAAACAAATTTGAGCAAAAAAAATCTATTTTATAAATAATTTTAAAATGCAGTTAGCTAGAACATCAGTTTTCCTGACCATATACAAAACCGCCATAAAAAGGCCTGCACATGGTCCCAAAATTGCGATAAAAATTATCATTTTTTGAGCCAAAGACAAACCGTCTAAACTGTCTTTAATCTTTCTATGTTCAAGCTTGGTTCCTTTCTTACATTATTAAAATTTTATACACTCTGCCGCGACTTCCTGTCGTGTTGAATGATCTAGTCATATTTGTTAATTTCAGATGGTTGTAGTAGCCTTTTTCGTCGATTATTGCTTGGTTGAGTGCATCCACTGGGTTAAGAGTTTCCGAGAGTAGTCTACGTTGTGAACCACAATTTTTCATGTTAAAAATATTTTTATGTCTGATCCACTCCTGTTCAGCGTTGATTCCAATTTCGCATCTTCTTTCTAAGTCTGATAGTGCGCCCCAAAATTGTTAGTAGGATTCTCTATCTTTTTTTTCCTGCTTAGTAATTTATATCGTTCAAACGTTATATTTGTCGGTTTAATAAAAGCGGCTTCTAGCAATTCGAAAAAACTCTTTTTCCTTCCGCTCCTAGGGCCAGGTAAAGGATTGATCTTACTTTTTTGTCGGCCTCATATGTCCTCATTCCTCATTCTTCTGCTAGTCTTTCATCTTCTGCGTGCTCATAGACTCGCATGTTCTCTTTATTCCTGGCCTCTCTAGTTTTCCTCTGCTGGTCAGTTTCTGACTCCTGGGCGCCTTCTAGGATTGGTAACGTTGTCTTCCCTTCTAATGGTTCCTTTAGATTGTCTTTATCTAGATTTTCCTTCGCAATTATAGCCAGGTGAAATTGGTCTATCCAGTTGTTCCATTGGGTGGGAGGTTCTACCGTGTGGTTTGGCCGAAAGGCGGGTATTCCCCGCAGATTCGAATCAGTTGCTGACTGCGCCATAATAAAAGGTGTGAAATACTGGAAATTCTGTTATCTAACTAAGTTTAAAAGGAATAAAATTATTGTGTAAATTAAAACTGACTGTAGTCTAAAAAGAGCAACTAGTGAGTCGAAGTCCACTGGACTTCGTAGAGTGGACGTTAGCTGGTACTTGATTAATCAATAAAGTTCAAGGTTAAGAGATACTAAAATACTAAATCACAACATTCCCCACTGCCTAAAAATTTATATCTGCCCGCTCCTCAATCTAGCCAATATCACACATACATCCATTCTTCCGACACTCCACCAGGGCTAAAGTTGAAACAAAAAGTAACCGCGTTTAGCAGCAATGGAAATTCACAGAGAGTAAAATTTACAATGGAGATGATTATATGGTAATATATACAGGCTACCTACACAATTAAACAGATATTTACAGCGATTGTACAGCTGACAAAATGATATGTACAAATGGGATTATGTGACATATCTACAAATAAAACAAGCTAACCTACCTAACTAACTAATTAAAATGTACAAAGTTGAGTTCAGATATGTTGAAACATATTTGTTGGATCCGGGGAAACATACATGCTTTTGTTGGTTCCAGAATGCCGAACATACCAAAATTTGGTTGAGAAAGTCAAAACATACCGAAATTTGGTCGAGAAAGTCGGAACAAAAATCGAGCACTTCGACCCGGGATGCATTTCATACCAAGCGCAAATAATTTTTTACCTTTATTTTATTTTATTGGGGGTTGGGAGTGGGGTATCATCGTACGATACATTTGGTTGGGTTCCCTGCCTGATGCTTACTTTATTTGTCTCCGGGTTCCTGAACTACTCTCTAGGACTAAAGAGTCGCATTGTGGGGCATATCCGGCGGCTACTCACGAATATTTTTGTCCCGGATTTCCCATTAAGCTTTTCAGGAATTTTTTTTGAACCGAAAGGCTGAATAGAACGAGCCATTATTATTCTGAATTTGATAAGGCTGTAAGTTATAAAAAGACCTTTTGTTATCCATAGGACGCTACCTTTTAACGTCAAATCTATCATGAAATTTAAACAAAGCAAGGTGGGAGTGTAAAACACTGCTTTGTGTACATAAACTTTAATTATCAATGAAATGCATTAGTAAATATTCAAAACGGTAACTTTTTGAGTTGCTGATTTGCATGAGACATAACTGTAATTGATGAAGGACAAGCACAAGTTTTCGATTAATAGACTTTTTTCACTTCAATATGTAAGTATATCATTGTCATTTAGCTGCCAGGTGAACAAATTTAGTTGTGATATCGGATAACAATGGAGTTGTTTGTGAAATCGAGAAATGTATTCAAGTGTTGCTGAACTCCTGTTTCAGCAAAAGCGGATTGCATTGAATCAAAAATTCTCCTTTTACAGCGAAAACAGTCGAGTGATCAATTTGAACCAATCCCCGGATGTCTTTCAGGGGTGGAACACCTTCCGCATGTCTGAGTATCAACTCTTCCCCATGTATAACACCCCTGAAGTCAATTTCGAAGTCTACTTTAAATATTTCCGATTGAATGGAAGATGCATGGTAGCCCCCAATCAAGAGATATCCTTGGAAAGGATGCACTGATGGTGTCCATACAAGAGAGGCAATACTAAGACTTCCAGGTGTAGCTAGATAAACAATCTTCATATTTGTTGTAGCTGAAAAGTTTGTTGATGAAGGTGATGCTTGAGTGTAATGTTGTTGCTGTGTTTGTTGTTGTTGTTTCAATGACACCACTGCGATTTTTTTGCTTCCATAGCCACAACTGAGCAGCATCTTGGTCTCGTTGATCATCAGCACACTACCACGGTCAGGCACACAACCATCCGTTTTTATGTCCAGAGGAACAGTGCACAGTCGAGCATTGTTCTTGTACATTATAACACTGTGCCACTTGCTCTTTTTTCTTTCGTCCCAAACTGCTAAAACTGTCGTGCCATTCTTGGATCTCAAGTACCAAAGAACAGAACCTCCTCCATAGGGTACTTCTTGTGTGTCTAACACTGCTTTCATCTTCAGACTAATTTGATCCAATTCTTCCACTCTACTAACATATCCTTTCTTGTTCACAACAACTCCATACAAAGTGTTACTCGTTTCGTCTACACAAATGTCCCACAATGCGTTTTCTGTTCCCCGCAAACCTGACCATTTCATATGTCTCTTCAGATCTAACTGATCGTTCTGCTCACCTGTCACACCAAACACTTTAATCATAAGTTCGTTAGACTGGAAACAATTGCACAGCAACTCTCTGGTCTTGGAGTTATAAACAGCCTTAAAGCAGTAGATCACATCATCGGTCTTCCCAATCTCGGTAAACCCAACCAATACTCTCCCATTTACTTCTTCTCTCGTCTCACTTCTATCGTTGCCTCTAACCAGTCCTCCTGTCTGAGGAGTACCAGTCGTACCACTAGATGACCTGTCTTCATCTTGGGTGATCAAGTTGCCAGAGAGGACAACCTTGGTAGCAATATCTTCGATGAAGATAGATTCAATAGCGGTTTCCATGATAGCAAATTGGGACAAAATATCGGATTTAAAACTCTTCAACTTCTTTTTTTCATTATCAATTTTGACTTTCACATCGTTTGATTTAGTTTCAACCTCGTTTGGTGTCCTACTTTTCATAACTTCATCCTGCAATCGCGATACGCTTTGAAATTGGCCCACAAAGTTGGGCCACTGACGTACGAGTTCAGTCATTTTGCTACACTCTGATTGATAAGATCGGAGTTTCTTTTGAATCTTTTCCTGGGGCTGCAAGTACTTTTCCATCGTAATGACTGTATGTTTGCTCTCATCTTCATGATTCTCATCCCAACAAATCAAGCAAATCGAGACCATACAACTTTTGCAGAAGAACTGCTGAGCATGGGTGGCATGGGCATCACAATAACTGAAATTGGTTGTAGCCTGTGATATTTCTGAAACACATTTGACAGTTTTGCACCAAAATTTTTACGTAGGATGAAGCGTGTCAAAGTAAATTCTTGAATGTTCTGACAGCCCCTGTTAGGGTTTTTGAGTTAATTTTTGCTACAAGTACGCGATAAAACAATTTTTTTGGCGGCGCTCAATTTTATGTTTTCAGATTTTTTTCTTTCAGTTTTCCTTTTTTGTCCTTTAGAGTGCCTGGTGAAGTTTTTTGTCAATGAAAAAAAATGGATTGAAAACTAAAATTCTCTTTCTTGAGAAAAATGTATAAAAACATCCTTTTTTATTCTAAAGCTTACAAATTTTGCATCTTAGATTTCAACATTCGGAAAAATATTGTCTTTCATTAGGAACTGTTTTTATTGGGAACCGTTTCTGATCCGAATGGTTTCCGTCTTAACTCATTATACAAACGCAACCAAGTACGAGTTAGGTATCCCGAATTGTCAAAAATTTTATAAAACATAAGTTTTGCAAAAAAAACAAGAATTTTGATTTCGACATCTGGGCATCAGATGCTTTCAAACGATATAAAAAACCAAAAATGTTTTAAGCAAAATGACGTATTTTTCTGGGGTCCTCGACAACAATTTTTCGTCATATTTACAAAGTTTGGATCAAAAAAGTTTTTTTAACTTAAGAGCGACCCGCATAATAGAAGCTATTCAAATTTTTGGAAGGATGCGTATATTTGCATGCTTACATAAACTAACCCACAATCATTTGTAAAAAGAGAAAACGTAAACTCAATCATGTAAACTTTGAAAAAACGTTTTTGGTTAGCTCGTATCCTGATTATAAACATTAATATTATATCTTTTTCTTATTTTTTCGTTTTCCTAATTGAGGAATTAAGGAAGAAGGATTAATCTTAGAATTAATTTTACAAAAATAAGGCTACTATTAGTCTAACAATTGTGTCAACCTTTTTGTCAAGAGCTGTCAAAATATTATTACAAAAAAATAGTTTGAACGATGTTTTTCCACTTTCCAATTTGCTGAAAACAAGCAGAATGAGAGCTCGACATTTTGAAACACTTTCATGGTATTTATGGCACAAGCCAAAATATTTAAATATTTATGGTAAAAGCGTTTAGGTTTTATCCAATTTTTAATGTGTGCACTATTCAATCAGTGCCAATCCCAATTGTCAAAATTATCTAATGTGAACATAGCTAGCAGACAGTTGCAAAAGAGTCATTGAACCCGAAGCACAGGAAAAATCTGGCTTGTTTTTTGAAAGATCTCATTTTTCGAGTTTCAGAGAAAAAATAGGTGGCCTTAAAGTTCGTTGAATTTTTTTTTTCAATTTATCATTGAACCTTTTAAAGTAAAATTAATCTATTTTGAGATATCTAGATCAATAGGTAAACTTTTTTTCGTTGGGAAATTTAAAATTAAATTCTAGTTTTGAAATTAGAATTCAATCACAAATTTTTTAGGTTTTTGCGCTTTTGCCGGTCGATAAAGCAAGTAGCCTCCCTTTTAACATATGTAAATTTTTGAACTTGAAAATGAATCAAAAAGAAAACTGCAAAAAAGTAAATTGACGTAAAATATTTTTTTCCGAAATTTTTGCAAAAAAAACGGAAAGGAAGTAGTTACGATCTATAAAGGAGTCTGAACTACGTTCACCGTTTCTTAATAAAAAATATTTGATTTTTCGTGCAAAAAAATTCCATAAAAAATAAAAAAAACTTTTCAAATTAATCCTTGACAAATCATGAAATCAAACAATCTCTTAAGCAGCACAGAATGTTCTTTTTTATTTGATGTAAGAAAAAATCCAAAATGGCAAAGCAGAAAAATTGATGAAAAAGAAAAATAACTGCAGTGTTTTTTAAATTTTAATGTCATTTTCTTGTTTCAGAATCCGCAACCAAATTAAGAAATCCAGAATTATTGCTCAAAATAATTATTTTTATGATAAAAATGCCTTTTCTTCATTTTTGTTTGAATATCAAAAAAAAATATTTTCGAATCCAGAGGTTTTTTATTTCATGTTAAGAATTGATTTTCTTGATCCCAAACATTGTAAATCAAGCAAATTGAGACCGTACATTTTTTTCAGTAGAACTTCTAAGCGTGGGTGGCATGGGCATCACGAGAATTGTTATTGGTTGTAGCTTGTCACTTTTTTAGGTTCGTTTGATCGAGTTGGGCTAATTAGGGTTTCTTTAAAAGTTTTTGTTATAAGATCTCTGACTGCGCGCGTTAGGGTTTTATAATTAGTTTTTGTTACAAGAGATTAATAAATTTATTTTTTGGCAATATTCAATTTTTAATTAACGCAGTTTTTTTTTACTTTTCAATTATTGTCCTTCAGGGTACCTGGGGTAAATTGTTGTCAATGAATTAAATTTGTAGAGAACTTTTAATTTTTATTTCTGAACATAAAGTTCACAGCCTTTTTTATACTTAAATTAACATACTTTGAATCCTAAAATTCAACATATGGAAAACTAGCCTGCATCATTGTGAACTGTTTTCATTGGGAAACGTTTCTGTCCAGAATGGTTTCCGTCTTCAAGAATTATAAAAAAGCAACCAAGTACGCGTTAGATATCCCAAAAAAAAAGTTTTTGAATAAGACAATTTTTGAAAAAAAAATTGATTTTGACCTTTGACTATCAAAATTTTTCCCATGATAAGAAAAATGTCAAAATGATTTAGATGAAATTTCATATTTGACTAAAGTTGAAAAAGCAACCTCGACATCAATCTTTCGTCTTTTTTGCTAAAGGGCCCCAAATTTATTTATAATTAAGAGCGACCACCATCATAAAGGCTATTTAGATTTGTTGAAAAAATTATTATATACGATTATGCTGACATAAATTAGCCACTATTTGTCTATGTAGAAAAATGTTTCTGTGGCAACAAAGTAGAATAAGTCACCTACAGCATGAAATTTGGCAAAGAGTTCAAGTTAAGATAGAATAAACCTCTGCCAAATAATGTCATACGCTTATTTTTGATAGACTGTTCTTGACCAAAAAAAACTTTTGCAATTGAAGTAAAATATGCCGTTACTTCAAATTTTTTGTGTTTTAAAACCGTTTGACCGTGATAAAATCAGCTCAATTTAGAAAAACTATTTTGGTTAGCTCTTATCCTGACTCCTGATTTCGCGTCTTTTTTTAATTGAGGAAGAAAAGGAAACATGAATTTTTCTCAGAATTATTTTGAGAAAAATAGTGCTGCTATTATTTTCAACTACTTTTTGTTGTTTTTGTCAAGAGCTGTCAAAATACTGTGAAAAGAGAGTTACAAGGAACGATACTTTTTTCACCTTCTAATTTACTGAAGAAGAGCATTGTAATTGCTCGACACTTTGAAACAATTTTATGTGTTTCCAATGTTCAGTTTGTGCAGCATTTGATACTTGCAATATCCAACAAACAAAATTATTCGAAATTCAACATGACAAGAAATACTCGTAAGAAATAATCTGCAAGAAAAGGAAAAACAACCGCTATAAATAGACGTGGAGAAAACTTTCAAATTAGTTTTTAAAAAATGTCAAAAGCAAAATGAATAGCGCGTAGCTGTGCACGAATCACAAAATGTTCCTACTAAATCGATATAGGAGAAATCTTAAATGACAAAGTATGAATGTCGTTGAAAAAAGAAAACAAAACTGCATTTTAGTCAAATTTTACATATAATTTCTTGTTCTATAAGCCGCAATTGAAATAGGACAAATAGAAAATTTGCCTTATTGATCTTATTGATTTAACGTTACAATTGCCTTCCCATACCTTTTTTTAATAGTTTTTTTTTGAAAAACAAAAAATTTATGACAAATACTTCTCGAAACGAGATTTTATATTGTTTTTCCGTAAAAAATTGATTTTACGGCCATACGGGCTTCCATAAAATACATTTTTTAGCGTTAAGAGTTTTTCTTTTGGTAGCAAAAATTAGCTGAAAACAAACCGCGTGAATTGCAAGCTCTTTTCCGATCTTCGAGTAGTGAAAACAGTAACATTAAGATGTTTTAATGCTCGAATGCTTTTTTCTCAAGAGCTTAAAGTTTTTTAGATCTTCGATTTAAAATCCCATTTGATTTTATTCGATTCAATACATGATAAGAAAATGCACTCTGTGAGGGTACTTGTTGGTGATGCCTTAATTGTGATACTTCGGTTATTCAGTAGTTACACTTTTTTCAAATAATTCAAACAACTGAAGAAAAATCCATTCCAGCAGTTTGTTATACAGCAAGCCAGTGATTCAGCAGCAGCCATTACGAAAAAAGTTTGTGTCTCTAAGATTGCAGTAAGAGAAACAAAAATGAAGTGATCTCAAAATGAGTCTCATAAATGTGGTGTAAATTTGACAAGTTTTCAGTTGTTTTGGTAAAATAGTGTAACAATTGCATGTTTTATGTGTAACTTGACTTTTGTTTTGTTTCCAACTCTCATAACGTTCTAGAAACTAACTATTGTTCCAAATTTCGAATAAAGTGGGGAATACATGTGCTCGGGGTGTTTTTTTTTGTTCAGACCACTTTAACAAAACTCTGGCCTCGGGGGATTGATCTCATGCTCTGCATGTGGCCAGCCAAGTGTGGCCATAGTATCCTACTATAATATCTTGCGGCGAGTACGAGGAAAACTGTTTGTTTTATCATCATTAAATAACTAAGTTGTTTGAAACAGAATTGAGGCAGCTAATGAAATTAATTATCTCCATACACGACTCAAATTGCCATTCTTAATTTTTGATTTTGTCAGCCTAAATTTCATCAGTCAGTATTTAATTTATCAAATTATCCGAGATCAATTAAAAGGCAGTCGAAACTTTCAGTGCTTTCTTTGAGTTTATAAGAGTTAAAACAAGAAAAGAATCATTCAAAAAAAAATTGAGAGGCTTCAAATAAATTTCAGTAAAATCAATAAAAATGGAAAGGAACCTACTTTTTTTATTTGTTGGGAATTTGTTCTATATTTAAATCGAGATTCACGTATTACTTTGAGTTATTTACATAGAACCCCGTTCCTTTTATTGAGTTCACAAAAAAAAATCTTTTTTTCCATTTCAGTCACCGTCGGTTGATGACCTAATGCATTCATTTTTTTACCTTTTTTTGGTTTTACTCAAACGAACATAAATTTTTTCGAGAAAACAAATTTCTGACTAAATAATTTTTTTTACTGGTCCTCATAGCTGGCCATTAAATTTATTTGAAACTGATGGAGTTTCATGCAGGTCGGTATATGTCGAAAATAAGGTTATATGTTGAAATTTCATAAAAACGATGAAAAGAAATTAAAAATTCCTTTGAAATATTTAGTTTTTGTAAGGCCAGCATTATACAGTGCTGATTTAAATTATCTGGACAAAACGAGTAAGACTTTTCGTAATTTTAAACGAGTTTTTCTTAACCTTGGTTAAGATTAGACAAAAAGTGAAGAGAAACAAAATTTGTTTAGAATTTCATCAAAATTTTTATGGTGGAATTTTTTCTCCAAAATTCTCACCAGAATTTTGACCCAAAAATTGGATCAGTTTGGGTTTTTTAATTAATCAAGGATTACGCTGAAATTATTTAGTTTAAAGATGAGAAATTGATATCACAAAAAGCCTCTAACACATCCCAACAAAATTCCAGAAAAAATAAATCTCCAAAAAATTGAGTAAATTGTTTAAAATTTGTTTTAAGCAAAGTTTTTGGGTTTTATATAGTAAAATCACATTTTTGACTATCAATTAAAACTAATTTCTCTGATACAAATTTTTGGAGATTTAACCTTTCTAAAACATTGTTGGACTGTGTAAGAGGCTTCTTGTGATATATATTCCTAATCAATTAACAAAGTAGTTTCAGCATAATTCTTGATTAATTGAAAAAGCCAAAATGACCCATTTTTGGGGTAAAATTTTGGTTGAGTCTTTCGTAGAAAAAATATAACGAAATTCTAATTAACTTTTTTTCTGTTTGAAAGTTTTGTTCATTTTGTCCAGATAATTTAAATCAGAACTGTAGTTCTTGCAAAAATTTTCAAAAGATGGTGAAAATCATTCACAAACTTTTTTTGGTTATTTTCTAAGTCATACTAGTTTCACTCTTGAAAAATGGTATTAACCATCACCATCAAAAAAAGTTCAGCCACACAGTGTTTTTTCTTCTTTTTTTCAATTGCTTTTTCGATAAATTTTCGATGTGGTAAATACAAATTTTTTGTTAATATTTTATACCTTGATAAGGCGGAGGAAGTGGCATCATGAAATTGTTTTCAACTTCAGAAACAGGTCTCCGAGGAAGGTTGAGCCACTTTATTTTATATCCAAAGGAAATTCTGCTGTTTGGGCAGTTTTCCAACACACATTTCTGGATATTTTCGGATTCCAGTTTCATAGCGCATGGGTGACAAATGCAATGTCCACATGGAAGCTCCGGCACCTCTCCAGTCATTTCCTCGCCACAACTGGGACAGCCGAGGTGTATTTGGTCGAAACACTGACCGCGAGATGCAGATGCCATTTCTAACAGTGCGGCCCTCAAATGTGGTCTTTCTTGTGAAATGAAAGGACTGATTGATTTGATTTTGTTTAGGGCTGAATGAGTGTGGTTGGGTTTAAAACAGGGTTTAATAACCAATTTTTTGGTATATAGTATGATTAAAAATGAATTAGTTGAGGGAAATTTTAGTAAACTTTATCAACTATGGACCTATTTTAATTTTATTCAATATCATTTCCAATAAATAAGCCTCAACTTGTAAATTTTATAAGTTTGCAAAGATTGCTTTATAAAAAATAGACACTCACCGCTTTTTACGTGTCCAGGTGAGATGTATTTTTGGAGCCTTAAAGAAGGTTAAGTTGCATTTCTTGTGGCATATTAATTTTTGTTTAATCAAAATTTCGGAAAACTAAACGTAAATAAGCTTTGCTTATAAAACCAACAAACATCAGATTGACAATAAATACATTTTCTATCTCAAATCTGTTTTGAATCGATGTAACAAATAAAGTTCGATTGTGAAAAATCGTTTTGCAAATGAAACTTTTACTATATCTGTTAGAGTAATAGCTAAGGACTAGCGTTTAGCGCACCTCCGGTGCGTCGAAATTTTTCAACAACTCATGAAAAACCGCTGATTTTGGAAACAACATCTGCAAACTTTTAGTGTAGTGACTGCACCCAATTACAGTGTTGGTAATTTCGAATTTTTTAATTTTTTTTTAATTCCTATTTTAAAAGCGTCATCTCGAACACTTATTGGGTTTCCTGAGAAATTTTGAGGCCAGATTTGCAATCACTGGGAGTCCTTGAGAGCACCCTACGATAGGGTTAGGAATTCAGAATTTTGTGAACTTTTTTAAACCTGTTTCCCGAAACAAAAGTTCAAAAAAAACTATTGATTTCGGAAACTAAAAGAATTTGAGCATTCATATTAAGAGGAAAGATTTGAGACGCCTGGGTTTACGCTGAAAATAAGGTTGTATCTTCATGAAGTTAGTAGTTTCAAATTTTTTGAATTTCTTTGATGATAATTCTTTGAAATTTTGAAAAAATCAATAACGTCACATCCCGAAAAAAAAAGCATTTGTGCAGTCGCGTTCAGCAGTCGCATGTGGCAAAATTTGCAACAACACCGAAATATAGCGAACAGTCAAGGATTTGAACAGTCAAAATTGGAGGCAAGAATTGTATCTGAGAGTAATCAGACAGCACCCAACTACAAGGTTGAGAATTTCAATTTTTGAGAACTAATTAATTAGAATTTTCTGAAAAATCTTTGAAAAAAATACCAAAAATATCGTATCTCGACAACTACAAAGATTTCAGAAGTGATATTTAGAGGCAAAATTTGTAATCCTTGATAGTACTCTGAAATTATTCAACTACAGGGTTGAATTTTCAGATATTTAAAAAATAATGATAATGTAAGTTTTCCTAAAATTTTTGCAAAAAAACATAAAATATGCCATATCTCGAAAACTACAGAGAAGTGACCAGTCATATTTGGAAGCAAGGTTCGCAATCTTTGAGAGTACTCTGACAGGACCCAACTACAGGGTTGGGAATTTCGATTTTGCGAAAAAAAATCATAATAATTTAAGTTTTCTGAAAAATTTTGGAAAAATCTCAAAAAAACATCATATCTCAAAAACTACAAGGATCTGAGCAGTCATATCTGGAGGCAAGATTCGCAATCCTTGACAGTACTCTGACAGTACCCTAGGACAGGTTTGGGAATTTCAAATTTTTTTAAAAAATCATAATAATTTAAATTTTCTGAAACTTTTTGAAAAAATCTCAAAAAACGTCAAATCTCGAAAACTACAAGGAAATAGGCAGTCATATTTAGAGGAAAGATTCGCAATCTTTGAAAGTACTCTGACAGGAACCCAACTACAGGGTTGGGAATTTCAATTTTTTTGCGAAAAAAAATTAATACAAGTTTTCTGAAATTTTTTTGAAAAAATCACAAAAAACGTCATATCTCGACAACTACGAAGATATTTCAGCAGTAATATTTAGAGGCAAAATTCGCAATCCTTGAAAGAACTGTGAAAGTATCCAACTACGGGGTTGAATTTTCAGATTTTTAAAAAGTCGTAGTAATTTAAGTTTTGCTAAAATTTTTTAAAAAAAATCACAAAAAATGTCATATCTCGAAAACTACAAAGAAGTGACCAGTCATATTTGGAAGCAAGATACGAAATCTTTGAGAGGAGAGTACTCTGACAGGACCCAACTACAGGGTTGGGAATTTCGATTTTGCGAAAAAAAACTAATGTAAGTTTTCTGAAATTTTTTGAAAAAATCACAAAAAACATCATATCTCGAAAACTACAAGGATCTGAGCAGTCATATTTGGAGGCAAGATTCGCAATCCTTGACAGTACTCTGACAGTACCCAAGTACAGGGTTGGGAATTTCAAATTTTTTAAAAAAAATAATCATAATTTAAATTTTCTGAAACTTTTTGAAAAAATCTCAAAAAAACGTCATATCTCGAAAACTATAAGCGTTTGAGCAGTCATATTTGGAGGCAAGATTCGCAATCCTTGAAAGAACTCTGAAAGTACCCAAGTACAGGGTTGGAAATTTCAAATTTTTTTAAAAAATAATCATAATTTAAACTTTCTGAAACTTTTTGAAAAAATCTCAAAAAAACGTCATATCTCGAAAAGTACAAAGAAGTGACCAGTCATATTTGGAAGCAAGATTCGCAATCTTTGAGAGTACTCTGACAGGACCCAACTACAGGGTTGGGAAATTCAAGTTTTTTGCGAAAAAAAATTTATACAAGTTTTCTGATTTTTTTTTGAAAAAATCACAAAAAACGTCATATCTCGACAACTACGAAGATATTTCAGCAGTGATATTTAGAGGCAATATTCGCAATCCTTGAAAGAACTGTGAAAGTATCCAAGTACGGGGTTGAAATTTCAGATTTTTAAAAGGTCGTAGTAATTTAAGTTTTCCTAAAAAATTTTTTAAAAAAATCACAAAAAAAGTCATATCTCGAAAACTACAAAGAAGTGACCAGTCATATTTGGAAGCAAGATTCGCAATCTTTGAAAGTACTCTGACAGGACCCAACTACAGGGTTGGGAATTTCGATTTTGCGAAAAAAACTAATATAAATATCACAAAAAACAACATATCGCGAAAACTACAAGGATCTGAGCAGTCATGTTTGGAGGCAAGATTCGCAATCCTTGACAGTACTCTGACAGTACCCAAGTACAGGGTTGGGAATTGCAAATTTTTTTTTAAAATAATCATAATTTTTTTTTCTGAAAATTTTTGAAAAAATCACAAAAAACTTCATATCTCGAAAACTATAAGCGTTTGAGCAGTCATATTTGGAGGCAAGATTCGCAATCCTTGACAGTACTCTGACAGTACCCAAGTACAGGGTTGGGAATTGCAAATTTTTTTTAAAATAATCATAATTTAAATTTTCTGAAATTTTTTGAAAAAAAATCACAAAAAACATCATATCTCGAAAACTACAAGGATCTGAGCAGTCATATTTGGAGGCAAGATTTGCAATCCTTGACAGTACTCTGACAGTACCCAAGTACAGGTTTGGGAATTTCAAATTTTTTTAAAAAAATCATCATAATTTAAATTTTCTGAAACTTTTTGAAAAAATCTCAAAAAACGTCATATCTCGAAAACTATAAGCGTTTGAGCAGTCATATTTGGAGGCAAGATTCGCAATCCTTGAAAGAACTCTGAAAGTATCCAACTACGGGGTTGAATTTTCAGATTTTTAAAAAGTCGTAGTAATTTATGTTTTCGTAAAATTTTTTTAAAAAAATCACAAAAAATGTCATATATCGAAAACTACAAAGAAGTGACCAGTCATATTTGGAAGCAAGATTCGCAATCTTTGAGAGTACTCTGACAGGACCCAACTACAGGGTTGGGAAATTCAAGTTTTTTGCGAAAAAAAATTTATACAAGTTTTCTGAATTTTTTTGAAAAAATCACAAAAAACGTCATATCTCGACAGCTACGAAGATATTTCAGCAGTGATTTTTAGAGGCAATATTCGCAATCCTTGAAAGAACTGTGAAAGTATCCAACTACGGGGTTGAATTTTCAGATTTTTAAAAAGTCGTAGTAATTTAAGTTTTCCTAAAGTTTTTTAAAAAAAATTCACAAAAAATGTCATATCTCGAAAACTACAAAGAAGTGACCAGTCATATTTGGAGGCAAGATTCGCAATCCTTGACAGTACTCTGACAGTACCCAAGTACAGGGTTGGGAATTTCGATTTTGCGAAAAAAAACTAATATAAATATCACAAAAAACATCATATCGCGAAAACTACAAGGACCTGAGCAGTCATATTTGAAGACAAGATTCGCAATCCTTGACAGTACTCTGACAGTACCCAAGTACAGGGTTGGGAATTGCAAATTTTTTTTTAAAATAATCATAATTTAATATTTCTGAAAATTTTTGAAAAAATCACAAAAAACTTCATATCTCGAAAACTATAAGCGTTTGAGCAGTCATATTTGGAGGCAAGATTCGCAATCCTTGACAGTACTCTGACAGTACCCAAGTACAGGGTTGGGAATTTCAAATTTTAAAAAAATAATAATCATAATTTAAATTTTCTGAAATTTTTGGAAAAAATCTCAAAAAAACGTCATATCTCGAAAACTATAAGCGTTTGAGCAGTCATATTTGGAGGCAAGATTCGCAATCCTTGAAAGAACTCTGAAAGTATCCAACTACGGGGTTGAATTTTCAGATTTTTAAAAAGTCGTAGTAATTTATGTTTTCGTA